TTTTACACTTCTACATTAATTAAAAAACTATTAAAGACTTTAGGTAAGCGAAAATATACTTAAAACAAAATTGTGTTTTTATGTTTTGGATGTGATAATATGGAATATATATACTTATTTAGTATGATGTTTTTCATTTGATTATTTATTGGTTTAAAATATATTTTCCTTAACGGGTAACGGGTCGGGTCATATTACCTGTTAATATTATCGGGTCGATTTCGGGTCGGGTCATTTTACCCGTTTATTTTAACGGGTGTTACACGACACGACACGACCCGTTAAGATATCAGGTATGACACGAAAACGACACGAACACGGAAAACACGACACGAATGCCAAGTCTAGTTTGAGTACTGGCAAGTTTGAAAAGTTTCGTCATCAACTCAGCATGGAGAAAAGAATGAGCTGGTGTTGAGGGGGAGTGTTAAAAGAGCCCAACCCCAGCCCATTCCACACAAATCCAAGCACCAAAGTCGGCGCAGCATGCAGACATGTCAATATGCTAGATAATTCTAGCATTATCTTATTAAGTCGGTGGATGTGTGTGTATAATCATGTGCTAGAAAGCTCTAGCAGCTTGTACAATTGTGTGGCTGCCATGCAAAGCCCAAAGGCGATGGGCAATTGTAGTCGGCAAACACCACCTATAAATAGGTGTGTGATGTTGTGAAAGCAATCAACAAACAAGAAAGAAGTAATCAAGCAAGCAAGCAACCAAGTGAGAGTGAGAAGTAAGAGTAGTCTTGTGAGGAGGAGTGTGAGTGATTTAGAGTTTGTCTCTAGAAAGTGAGTGAGTGTCATTGCTTCTAAAGTGTGTCTTTATGTCCTTTTGAGTGTTGTAATATTTTGTGTGTGTAATACAAGTAATTTGTTTACTTGTGTACTCTAAGTTTTTCCTCAACAATTGCAGCCAATGTATTCTACTGTGATGGATCGCAGGCAATCTGGACTGAGTTACGCGAATGTTTCTCCTAGGTAAACAACGTTCAACTCTTCCATATTGAGAATGAAATGCATGATTATGTTCAATTCTTCAACACATGATGAACTTTCAGGTAAGGCTTTCTGTTTCTCTTCTCAGGGTAAGAAAGCCACATGGATCCTCGATAGCGGGGCGACTGATCATATCGTTTGTAGCCCTAAATTACTTACAACTTGGAAAGCTGTTAAAAATAAGACAGTGGAATTACCAGATGGCTCCCTTGCTAATGTTACACATGTTGATGAACCACAAATCAGAAACTCAAACTCATCTCACTAATTTCATTAGCATGGTTGAAACACAATTTTCTTCCAAAATTAAGGTTGTGCGTAGTGATAATGGCCCTGAATTCACAGTGAAAACCTATTACTTGTCCAAAGGTATTCTTCACCAAACTAGTTGCATTCATACCCCACAACAAAACGGAGTCGCTGAACACAAACATACACTTACTCAACATGGCACGAGCTTTGCTTTTTCAAGCCCACCTTCCTAAACAGTTTTGGGGGGACTCCATTTTAACTGCAACTTATCTCATAAATCGCACACCCACACCAGTTTTGAAGGGTAAAACACCTTATCAGCGGTTGTTCAATGTCACACCTACTTACTCACATTTAAGGATATTTAGGTGTTTGTGTTTTACTTCCACTCATGCTCAAAAGCCATCCAAATTTGATGCACGTGCAACTAGGTGCATTTTTCTTGGTTAGCCTTATGTGAAAAAGGGATATCAAGTATATGATATAGAACTTCGCAAGGTGTTTGTGTCTCGGGACGTCACTTTCTTCGAACATGAATTTCCCTTTAAACACACTTCCGCTGCCAATAAGAGTCCTACAATTTCCTCTCCCATGGACCCCACCTTTGATGATGATCCTGTCACACCCATACCACAAAACAACACCGATACTTCTCCTCTAGAAAATCCTAAACCAATTACTACCGAAATCGAAACACCATCTTCTGTTTCTTCACAACCAATGCTTCCTCCACATCCTCCAACACCTCTTATGCATCGCCATTCTAATCGACCAACCACACGGCCTGCCTTCCTCCAAGATTTTCATGTGGAAGCAACCCTCCCATCAAGGCTTGGACAGTCATTCGCCTCTAGCGTGGTCACCAAATCAAGTACCCCATATTCTCTATCCCAAGTTCTTTGCTATGATCGATTGTCATCTTCACATAGAGCTTTCACCACATCATTAACTGTTGTCAAATAACCAACTAGTTTCTTACAGGCCATGAAAGATTCTCGTTGGCGTCAAGCTATGCATGATGAGATTAAAGCATTGCAAGCGAATCAAACATGGACCCTTGTTCATCTGCCACGGGACAAGAAACCTATTGGGTGTAAATGGGTTTACAAAGTGAAGCTCAAACCTGATGGGACTGTTGAGCATTACAAAGCTCGTTTGGTTGCCAAAGGTTATAGCCAAATTGAAGGACTCAATTATCGAGAGACTTTTGCACCGGTTGCTAAACTGACTACTGTGCGTCTCCTACTTAGTGTTGCCGCCATTCAAGGATGGCATCTTCATCAACTTGATGTCAACAATGCATTCTTGCATGGTGACCTTGATGAGAATATTTACATGTCTCTACCACCTGGATTCAGACGAAAGGGGGAGACTCAAGTGTGCAAACTTAACAAATCATTAAATGGTTTGAAACAAGCTTCCAGGCAGTGGTTTTTGAAAAGTTATTGAATATTTTGAAAAGTTATTCACCAAATATTTTCTCTTGAATTGTAATTAATATAAAATGCATTATGATTTGATTTCTAGCTGGTTAGGGGTTTTACCATTGTGATTGGCTGCTTGCTTTACAACTTCTGTTTGTTTTACTGTTTCCTGAGCTTTTCAATAAATAAATCTGGCTCTTTTCAATTTATACGATAAGACGGTAAGGGTGTGTTTGTTAGGGATGATTGGGTTGGATAGGATAATTGCTAGATTCAAGGAATATCCAAGTTGAAGGTAGAAGACAAGTTACTCATGAAGGAAAGTTGTCCATTCGAATACCCGCAAAAAGGTAGGATTAGATGGGGTAACTTTCCTCTCTGATCATCGTCTTCAACATTCGACTTCGACAAATTTGGGAGTTGCGTTCCATTTTCCCCTTGAATATGCCTTGAATCTAGTGAGTTATGCTACCCAAGCTAATCCTCCCTAACAAACGCACCCAAACAGTTTCCACGAGCGGTTTTCTTGACAAAACTTTCTTTTAGCACCGTGGAGGTAAGGGGGGTGTATTCAATTGAGAATGTGAGAGATTTTAATGGATTTATAAATCCATGGATTTTTATGGAGTTTAATTGATTTGTAGAGATTCCATATAAAATTTTGATTCAATTCCCTCGAAATCTCATAGGAAGAGGTGAGATTTGTGAATGCTTAAAATACACTACGAAATCTCTTCAATTCCCTCTAATTCCTCAACTTTCTCAAATTCTTTAAAATCAATTTCTAATTGAATACACCTGGAATGTTATAAACTTCTTTAAAATCTTAATTGAATACACCTAGATTTATAAGGATTTTAATAAACTATTTTAAAATTCTAATTGAATACACCTAGAATTTCAGAGAATCACTTAAAATCATGATTGAATACCCCTAGATTCATTAAAAGAATTAAAATCCCCTAAAATCCCAATTGAATACACCCCCCTAAATCTATGATATCCAACGAGGAGGAATTGTACCAATACTTGTGGATGCAGTCTATCTGTAGTGACTTGAAGTTCTATCTTAACTTCACATCTTGTTTGTTCCCTTGGCTTATGCATATGAGATTTTTTTGCATTAGGTTCTTGAAACAAGGAAATATAACCGAAAACAGAAGTTTCAATCTTTTTCTGTCAACATAACTAGTTAAAGGAAATCGATTTGTCTCTATGTTAGGTGGTCTTAGAAACAGTGGCTTAAGAGGTATAAGATTTGTCTCTGTATTTCTCTCCACATCAAAGCATTCTTTATATTTAAGATCAATTAAGTGTCGAATTATATCTTTTGAGGTGAAACTGTGGATGCCAATTAAGGTAGCTTATGCATATGAGATTCGTTAAACAAGGAAACATGACCTTAAACAGAAATTGCCGTCTTTTTCTTTAAACACAGGTAATGGAAGGAAATTTTGACACTTTCAGCTATCTTAGGTGGTCTTTACAAACAGTTGCTTAGGAGGTATATGATTCGTCTCTATCTTTATTTCTTTCCTTACAAAACCGTTCTTTGTATTAAAATCGATTACCATGATTCCATCTTGTGTCTCTACTTGGCATAAATTACATCTACTTCTTTTGAACAGTTTGAAAGACTTGCCAGTTATATCTACTTCTTTTGAATTGAAACTGTGGATGATGATAAAGGAGGTTGAATGTTAGATTTCAGTTTGTGGATTTTTCAATGAATTGCTCCTGGTGCTTATTTACCTGATCAACCTTTCAATTGTACTTTTGTTATCAGAGGCTTGCCATGTTACCATAAATTTGAATTTGGGCTGATGATGTGCATCGTAATCGCTAGGTGATGAATCTGACGGGTATATTGAATCCATTTTTTAATTGCTGTCATGGGAACCGGGTGTGGTAATCTGAGGTCACATTCACTAGTTATGACCTTACTCAGAGCATTCTCTTCCAGCTATCCTTTTTTATTCTTCATACATATTTCCTCCTATATGCCTTATCCATAAAAGCGGACACCTCCGGTTGTTTATAGCCAAAAGTTCTGTAATTGATGCAACACCTTTCACTACATCAGTGTCAAACCGACACAGAAGAGTACATGGATTTTAAGGCCTCCTAGTCAAGTTGAATTTTCCACATTTGGAGCATGTAAGCTGTCCTTTTCGTAGCATTTGCATTCTGAAAGCTGGTATACGTTTACATCATGAATTATACTCGGAATTCTGCGGTTTCAAGTGACCACAGGTTTTTGTGGTTTGCGGCCTCAGATTACGGATTGACTTGAACACTTGTGGTTTTGGTTCACCAGATCACGAAAAGAATGCAAAGGAATGACTTCACAAGGACTAGAGATTTAAATGACTTCACAAGCTCTTGACCTCTTCATGCATACGGTGGTTCTGCATAATTGTTGAGAAAGTCTACTTATGTGGAAGAATGGTCAAAGTTTTAAATTTCAATTCAGGTTTTTCCTAGAACATGCCAATGCATATTATAATTTCCTTGACCAGGTCCGCGTGGAAGATGGCAAGGAAACTGCTTCGCATATTGTCAAGTCGAGAAAAGAGGCCTTATCATAAGTTCATAACACAAGAGATGGATCAGTCGTTGACATTTAATCTCTCAGCAGCTCATCCTTTTTAGTAATCGAACGATCATGGATTCAACGACCAATGAAGGAGCCTCTTCCTCTTCGTCTTCTTCTTACATCCATTCATGGACACAGTGGCGAAGCTAGAAATTTTCAGAGGGAGGGGCGAAATTTAAAAGCGTAAACCGTTCAAAGCAATGTAGCTTACCTTTTAGATAGTACACAATATTAATATCGTTCATTATTTATCAATATAAACAAATTACAATTGTTGCCAATGAGGTTTCATGCTACGAAAATGTCACATCTAGGCTCATTACCAATAAAAGAAAAAACATCTCTCTCAATTAAATCTTAAGGATGAAATTTAGCAAAACAAATTATTTTTTGTTGTTGGTCAAAAGATGCAAAATTATTTACCGAATTCAAATATGCCCTACAAAGAAGCAACTCAATGTTTATCTCATTGAAGCGATCATTCAATTCTTTGAGTTGCATATGAAGGACCTGAAAATAGAGGTCCACACGATAGTAATGGAAGTTTATAAGTCTTTGAGCTTTATGTTTTGATTTTCTGAGTATAAAATGCAAATCCTCAATATTAGGAACATTAATATTATTTTTCTCACAAATTTTTATACATTATGAAACAAATTCTCAAAGTAATCATCTCTCAAGGATTGAAAAAAAAATGAAATAATTTAAATTCTGGAAACATAACAAGAATTAAAAAAGACCAATAGTAAGCATCAACCTCTTGTTTTTCTTTAGTCTAAACAAATGAAAGAGAGGAAAGAGAATTGAAATGGTGGAAACAATAATCAATTAAAAGCATAGTCCGGTTGGAAAAAAGTCCACATCAATATAAAATAAAAAAATAAAAAAGAAATTAAAGGATCCCACCGTCAAACCGCACCGTTTAGTTAAAAGTAACCAAGTTTTATGACTAATAACCAAAAACAGGCAAACGACGCTGTGTGGTTTGAAACAAAATTAGGTCGTCTTCTTCCCTTGAAATCATTAAAACCCAACGGTGCATTGTAAGATTGTGAATGATAATGAATGTTGTATTGGATCGTTTTGTTGTAAGCCACTTGTCTATCAAGTTGTTAGCAACCAAAGTGATCCGATAGTCCTAACATAATAAGGATTATGGAGTCTAAACCTTTGCAATTGACTTAAAGAAATCTGATGGATTTCACTACAAAGATATAGTATCATGGTGGGACTTAAATACTTAAGTGATAGGATTTGATTTTCACAACCAATAATAGGCCGGCTGTGATTAAACCCTAATGATATAAATACTATGGTTAAGTCCCTGCTTCCATACGCTCAATCTCTAAAAATACGCTAAACCCTATTCACAGCAGAGAGATATTTTGAAGTACTGGAAGTAGAAGACGACCAAGAACTCTGCAATGTCTTCCGTATTCTACAAATAAGTTTAATATAATTAGTCGATCTCTATTTTATATATTGATTTGATTTATTCGTGATCCTAATGTCTTGTTGTTGTGATTTCAGAATATGTCTTACATGTGGTATCAGAGCCGCACAACAAGCTTAGGGTCCGATATAAAGGTATAAGCAAATTTGTTTATTGAAGATGATTCACATACTAAAGAAAATTTGCTTATCGTTTTGGTTGGATGCCTTCTACTGTTCCATCTCATGAAAATTTGTTTTGATGCTTCCGCAATTTTGTGTTGGTATGCAATCATTTTCATGGTTAATAACATATGGATTGGTCTAGGGGTGACTATGCATACTGCTGCCTTTAAATAGTTTTCATGAAATTTAATTATTTATTTTTCTTGTTGGCTCTCATTTAATTATTAAGAGTGGGTTTGTTTTGGTTTGATTAATCGTGCTCTTGTGATATGATTCTGGGGTTTTTCTTGCTTCCGCGGTTTTTTTTTTTTTTCTTCTTGAATGGATATGTTAACCTTGTATTGCCGAGAAGATTGTGTCATCTATGTTGTGTTTTCTGCAAAATTTTTCTTGCAATTTTTTTTTATCACGTTTACCTGGGCATCAAGATAAACTGAAATTAGGTATACAACTCCAACTAGGTTTGTTGTATGCGACTTTATGGACTGCTATTTGATAATTATGAATTGATAATTCATAAATATATATATATATATATATATATATATATGCAAGGTCACTATTGTTTTCGGTGAACGATGACCTAATCTTATCTTGGGTAATATTTTGATTTATTATATAATTTTCTGATTATTAATTTAGTTGATAAATATTACCGGTTCCTATTTGATTAAAAAAAAAAAAAAAAAAAAAAAAAAAAAAGGAAAGGGTTAAAACATGCGAACAGTAAAGAATTTCTCCCCCGTGTGAGGGTTTCTGTTCATCAATGCCTAGCTTACACCAACCTCCTTCAATCACTGTAATGCTCGAATTGAAGCTTGAAATTTCGGGGTATTCATGCGAAGGTATGAAACTGCTTTTCATAAATTATTGCAATTTGGTTGAATTGAAATTAAGCTTTTGGTTCCAATCGAATTGATTTTGTGATATTATAATTGAGAAGTTGAAAACTATCATGTTGTTTCTGAGCAAATATAGTGTTTTCATTTGGGATTAATTCAATTTTGCAGTTTTCGACTCTTATCCTTATAGTGCATATGCAAATGAATAAGTAAGTTTTAGTTCTTGGTTATTTCTCTATGAAGTGATAGTCGCTTCTATTATTGCAATGAATATTACTTTTAGTATTCTTTGAAATCGATTGTCCGTTTCAATTATGACATAGAAAAGAATAAACATTCCTTAAGTGTTTTTATGTGACTGATGTAATTTTGATATGAAAATCATTCAGATCAATAATTTCCGTTTGATAAGACTTCCCTAACATCAATAACATATAATATTTTGTCATGTAAATGGATTTTAGACGCTGGTATTTTTTCACGTTTTTTGGACCAGAAATGGATTTATGGTAAATTTTTAAGTGTGATACCTTAGTGTTGGAATTCTGCAGACTTCCGCAGAATAGTCTGCTTGTGATATTATTTTGAAATATCTATGTGACTCATAAATTCATGAAATTTTAGTATGATATACATTGAGATATTTATTTCAAATCTGGAAATTTTGACGAGCATTGGTTTAAAAATGAATTATTGGTGAATTTTTAATCTCGGGACTGTCTTGCAGAATTTATGAGGTTTCTGCAGAAAATTCCATTTCGATTTTATTTTTAGCCCACTTTTTAAAATCGCATAAATCATGGAATTTTTGGGTAACAATAAATTTACATGTCTACTTTATTTCTGCAAATTTTCATACACATTGGAGGAAGATTGAAGTTTTGGTGAATTATTTAGTCTCGGGTATGTACTGAACATTTTCTGCTGTTTCTGCAGCACCTCTCTTTTCAAATTCATTTTTGGCTCGCTTATAAGATTTTAAAAATCATGAAATTTTGCAAAATAGTAGTCATATATGTCTAGTTCATACTTGAAAATTTTCATGACAATCTAAAGAGAATTGAGTTTTTAGTGAATTTGCAAACTAAAGTAGTACTGCTGAATTTTGGTACTTCAAACTAGTTTTGTTATGTGATATTGTTTGACTGATTTGTGTACATCAATTGGTACCAATTATTGTACAAGTTTATGGTTCCAATATGTCCTTATGTTATGCAAATTCTCAATACTAATGAATTTTATAAACAACACTGATTAAATTTTGATTTAAAGATGTATTGGTTTGTTTTGTTTAAACCAATGTTTTGTTTGGTCTTCAATTCTGATTATGATGATAATTGTCTTTTGAGAAAATTGGAAAGTGGAATTAGTTTACTAATTGATCATTTTGGTCCCTATCGAATAACTGAATAACCATGTTTCTTCTTTTGAGAACTCTATTGTTCAATGTCAACAACGACATACTTTTTGTGTCTGATTGAATCTTTTGAGAATCATTGAATATCCAAACAAAACGGTTATTTTAATACTGTTCTAAAAGATTATTTTGAAAAATCAGAATTCTAATTTATATGGTGAATACTTTTGTCCCAATGGGAAATTCAGGAAATCACTCACCAATTATAAATTAGTATTATAACAAATCATAAAATACTTTTAACATATGTTCATCTAGCCAAAGCTGTTGAAGCTATATGTATTTTGTGTATTTTATGTTTTGGCTAGCTATGCAGGTATTTTATTTGCATGATTAGTTTCTGCCCAAAGGTGTAACAATCATGCAAATTGGAGTTGGTTCGATCCTCCACAACTCAACTACTTCCATGATGAATCTTGCAGAATCGAGAATGAGTAGGTAAATTTTGCCAATCTTTTGCCTTAATTTTTCAGTGAATTCTAAATTGGATTAAAATTATTGTTGAAAAAGTTGATGTTGTTGAGATATCTATGTGTTTACTTTTATCGACTTTGTTTTAGAATTAAAACATAAATTTTGAGTTTGGATTCTCTTATTAGGTTTCATTTTACTTTATGACCTAATCTTTAACACATATGTGGGTCTTCTCTCATACACTAAAATAAATTTTGTAGCCATTGGTTTATCTAATCACTTGTCACTTTTAGATCGATTAATAATGTTGAGATATTGTTCCTTTTATAAGCCTAATTTTGATACATGGATACATATAGATTGGTTTTATTATGTCCAAACCAACTATTTTGTGACTCAACAAATTTGTGTAAGAAATTTTAATGTTTTGGGCATATTAGAGGTTATTTATCTAATGAAATGAACCTTTAATTTATTTAAGAAATTTTTGTTTGTGTTTTGAGCATATTAAAGATTGTAAATTGGTTTTTATTTAAATTATGATTAAATCTAAAATTTTGGTAGAGCTTGGGAAATACTGATGGAGTTTTTTACATACCTTGCAACAAATCCTATTTGATTACAATTTTTGATAAATTTTCTAACTCCAAACTTTGTAAAAAATTTGTCATCTCTTATATTATTAATGGATTGTGTACACTATCTTTATTGATTCAACTAGCCTATATTTTGTTATATGAAAAACCACTTTCTCTAGTGTTTAATCTTGCAATTTTGAGTGTTTTGCCCAAGTGGGAGAAATAATGTATTATGGGCTTCACACTCATCAA